GGGAGGAGAGAGGGAGAGAGAGGGAGAGAGAGGGAGAGAGAGGGAGAGAGAGGGAGAGAGAGGGGTGAGAGAGAGAGAGAGAGCGAGAAAGACAGAGAGAGAGAGAGAGATCACCTCATCTTAGCTGATCGGTGAGCACAGTGAGACGTATGCCAACATCTTCTAATCTTCAAGCGTTAAAGATATATACACATTTCTGCATGCACGTCAGTTTATCTTCGCAAAACAAAGAACATGTGTGTGTCGATAGTAGTGGGGAGAACCCGCCAAAATAAAACGAGAGAGTGGCACACGAGAGTCCCACACAACGGCGGCGCTGTCCCTAACTGTCCTTCATTTACCGGACGCCTCGCGCTCGCGAGCTGGATCGTTCTACGGGTTGTCTTCTCGGAAGAAAACCCAGAAAAAACACAAAACAACAAAAACACCAAACAAAAACATAAATATCGGAGAGTTCCAGATCTTGTGTTGTCTTTGTTGTTTTTGGTTTTGCCACGAGTGCGGGAATGCCTCGTAGCTGTCCACGTTTCTGCAGGGGTGCAAGCTCCTAAAACACAACAAACACTAACTTCCCGGATTGCTTTTCGTTGCTTTTTGATTGTTTGTATGGTCTGTCGTATACTTGGGACACCATGGTCAGACAAAGATTGCAACAAAACGCCCTCCCGAGTGCCCCGGTAAGTGAACCAGGCAGGCGGCGTTTGAAGTCAAATTTGATCTGATAATATGCCGCATAATGCCGCATAATGCCTTCTTAAAACTTTCAAAGCTAAGAGCCACTTGCCTGCTGGCGGAGCGCGAGGCGAGGTCGCCCGGGTCGCCCGGGGCGCCTGCCGGCCTGGAACTCTGCATTTCTGCATCTGAGTGCGGTCTTCCTATGCGGAGCCCTGCAGGTTTAGGGTTTGGTGACGGGTTTAGGGCTCAGGAGTGGAGCGTCAGCGTCTTCCTTCCCACCCAACAGCCCCCACCCCCTGCGAGCCCCGGGGCCCTAGCGAAGAGGTCTCCTTGACGAGCCTGCGGGCAAGGCTTAAGGGAGTTCGGGGTTACATGGCTAGTCTAAGGAATGTTTTTGAGGATGAGTGCTATGCGGATGAGTGCTATGCGGCATGCGCTTCGTGCGATAGCTTGCAGAGATTTGCCCGTGCCCTGTCACTACGAGGTGCTCCACAACGCCAAGCAAATACACATTTCAACGCTTCTCATCTTGGCTCTATGTACGAGAGTATGCCGCGCGCGCGCGTTCGGACTCTAAACGAGGAGAGTAGATGAATCTTGTAGACGTGCATTCGGGCGCGTCGTGGGTTCGTGAACCGCAAGGCAAAGGCCCTTCGATGGCCTAAGCCACCACCTGAAGTCACGGGGTCTCAGATGCTGCGCGCTGTCCTACCTTTTGCAAGCTTGAGGCGCATCCGCAGACTCCAATGCTCTCATCCCATGTCACTCTCGTCTCTGCAGAAAAAAGCCACTTCTTGAATTTCAAAATCAAATTAACCAGAGGACACGTGCCTGGAAGCATGGGACAATGTGGCCAAGGACTTGCAGGAGAAGCCCTGGCTCAGGAAACGCAATGCTGGGAATTAGGGTTGTGGGGCGGATCTTTGTTGTGCTTCCGGCGTATGCAATGCCTGAAAAACACCTGCCACTACGTGTTGCCAGTTCTGGCTTGGTGACCTGGTGTGCTGAGTCATCGAAATTGCCTAGGGATTAGGGGTCGGAATCATGGTGTTGCATGTTTGGGCTGTAAGACTGCTTTCCCAACCGCAGGAACCATGGTTTTGGGATGTTTGGGATATTTCAAGCACTGTGTCTGCAGCTGGGGTGAACATTACACGAGCACGCATGAAACCAAAATCCAACATGCACCAGAGGCAATGTTCGTGCGAAGCTGCAGGAGTGGGGAAGTTGCTGATTTTCAATTGCAAACTCATGGAACTAATGCATATCAGCTTGTGTGACTACAACCTGGTCCCGGGTTGTCATGGCCGCACTGAGGGTGGCTCAGGGCTAAGGTGGCTTGCGGCCAAGGCGGCTGAAGGTTTTCTGAGGGTTTGAAGAGGTCCTAAACGGTTCGCCTGCAATCACAGCCGCAAGCACAGTGGGCCGCCCATGAGGGCGCGGAGGCATCTCGCAAAACCGCTCTAAAGCCTTCGAGGAGAGCGTACCCCTTTCAAAGCACACCGATGTCGACTATCTGTGCCCCAGACTCAACTGCACATCAACCCCCAAGGATGTAGGTTGCTATACACGGAATAGCATGTCTATCCCTACTATGTCCTTCGTAAGGAGAAAACGGCAAAATTGCGGGGATTTTCGTCAGGGGCTCACTTGGCTTCTGGGTAACACACACCAAAAAACAAACACACACACACACACACACACACACACACACACACACACACACACACACACACACACACACACACACACACACACACACACACACAGAGAGCGCGCGAGCGTGGGCTGCTCAAACAACCCGGTACGCGGAACCAAGGCCTCGTCACATGTGATCCTTTCTAGATGTGCAGGTTTGACAGGGGTTTATGTGAGTTGTGGGGGTACGGTGGCTAGGCTATTGACAGAGCTCAAAGGTCATTTTTTCCGCCAGCCAAC